CTGTCTGTCTGTCTGTCTCTCCAGCTGTCTGCAGTACAGGTATCTCTCTCTGGACTCCTTCCCCTCCATCTCTGGCAACGACGCCAGCTGCCGCAGCGACAACCACCTGCCCCGCCCCTGCCCAACTGAGCGGGTCACCCCACGCCACCCGGACATGGCGGTGTGCAGCGGCTATGATGTGAGCGTGTGAACAGGGACATTGATCGACGAGGTTCAAACCTGCAACATGAGATTTAATGAATCCGCGTCTTTGCGCTGCAGATCAACGTGGAGCTGCGCGGCCGCCTCTCGTCTCCGGGGGAACACGTCCTGGTGGTGGAATATTCCAGCGAAGAAGAACTGCCCCAGACTCTGTCTGTGGTCGTGAACGCACCGGGATCCCGAACGCACCAGCACAGTGTCACCCTGCTGCACTGCAAATACAGGTACACACATTACTTTGAAGGGAACTTCAGGTTTTATGGAGCAGAACATGATTACAGAAGTTGGATTTGTTTTCAGTGGAAATAACTAATTGTCGTTTATGCTTTTATGAAATTGGATCCTTGTGTTTTTTTTTACCTAATAAATGATGATTTAATATATTTGACATGAAACTGTAGATTAGAGTGTGGACACCCGACCCGGGGTTCTGTCGTCCTCTGTGCAGGTGAAGAGACGAGTCTGTGGTTTGTTGTGGACTCAGCTGCTTCACAGTTTACTGTCAACACGTCTTAATCACAGTGTGTGTGTGTGTGTGTGTGTGTGTGTGTGTGTGTGTGTGTGTGTGTGTGCGTGCAGCTTCCTGTGTCGAGTCGTTGCCATCGATGCACAGAACCGAGTGGCCGTCTTCTCTCTTCCCGCCAACGCTGAGGTCCAGCTCATCTCTGACCGAGCCAGCTTCTTCCTGGTGAGACCCGGGTCACATGATCTCTCCCGAAGGTCACATGATGTTGATCTCACTTTAAACTTGTTCTCCGACGCATGAGAGAATAAAATAAATATTTTTTCCCCCTGAAATATATAAAAATGTAGTTTTGTTGATACAATAAACTCACGATATTACATCACATGTTTAGTGCATGATAATCACACGTGATAATCACACGTGATAATCACACGTGATAATCACACGTGATAATCATGTGCATGTACACATTAGCTTTGAGTTTAAACCTTTAAATCTCAACAATATTTCATTTCTAATTGAATGACTGAATGTTTTGATGGGTGATTTAATTGATTGTTTAAAGTTGATCGATCTGTCTCCTCACCTGCAGCACAACATCGTCCTGGTGCCTGAAGACCAGTTCACCATGGAGCTGGTTGAACCAAAGATTCACTGCATCAGCACCAACGGACAGTTCTCACCTGACAGGTACAGTCTCGCCGCCTGTTTGAACTTAAATCCAACATGAAGAAGAAGAAGTGTCTGACTCATCGCCTCTCGCTGCTCTGGCCTCAGGTCCTCCTGCGCCCCCTCGCGCTTCCGGACGCCGTCGGACTCTCTGGTCCTGAAGGACGGACAGAGCTCGTCCACGCAGGAGCCGGTCCAGGACGCCGCTGCTCCGCCTCCTCAGCCGCTCCGCCAGAGAGACGAGCCGGCCTGGACGGGAGGAGACGGACCTCTGCACGGAGTGGACAGCAGCGACCACGTCAGACTGGACTCTCTGCAGGTACAGATTATTTCAGGACTAACTGCACAGCAAGGATTCTTCTTCTTCTTAATCTGATCCTAAACTAATCAGATTATGAAAAAGAAAAACTTCGTTCTGGATATTTCTCATTTCTTCCCTCTTATCTGGATATTTCACTCTTTTCTTTGTCTCCTCCTCCAGAATGCCGCAGTGTTCTCGACTCGTGTCCACACCCTGGGACGTTACGTCTTCATCCTCCACTACCACCAGCCTCTTCACCCGACCTATCCTGTGCAGGTCTACATCAACGGAGGACGAATCTGGCAAGGTGACGTCCCACTGACAGAATCCATACGATGTCCTGAGAATAAAAATCTGCTGCAGAAGAAATTCAGTGAAACAAAGCAAACTTAAAATAAATAAAGCTTTTCTCTCCAGGCCACGCCAACGCCTCCTTCTGTCCGCACGCGTACGGCTGCCGCAACGTCCTGATCTCAGAGAACCAGATCATTCTGGACGTGACCGACCACGAGGTCTTCATCACCGTGCAGATCCCTGCAGGAAAGACTCTGTGGCTGGTTCGTGTTCACTCACTCTTTTCTGCACTTTGTTTTATTTTAGCGTAAAGACGACGTACGTTCAAATGGTTTCATGATTTCCACAATAAAACTTCTTCGTACATTTTAAAGACGCTTCAGTTTCTCTGGTGCAGTCGAGTCCTGAAGACGTTAACTAAAGTAATAATGAAATATAAGTGTTGAAGCTGTTTTTCCTTAGAACACGTTAAAGCGTCATGTATGACCCCAGATGTTGAACGTCTCCTGACGTGTGTGTTTGCAGGATTACGTGCTGGTTGTTCCTCAGTCCAGCTACAGCTCCAGTTACCTGAGCGAGGAGCCTCTGGACAAATCCTACGACTTCATCAGCAACTGTGGCCAAAACAGTTTCTACATCAAGTCAGTATCTTATCACAGGTTTCACACGCGTCACTTTCATAATAAAAGTCGTCTGCTGACTCCTCCCCTCTCGTCGACCTCAGTCCCGCCACCGCCTCCAGGTTCTGTCTCGGCTCGGCCGTGTCGCTGTCGGCCTTCTTCAACAACGGGGCGATGCCGTGCGCTTGTCACGAGGTCGGAGCAGAGAGCGACACCTGCGACACGTTCGGCGGTCAGTGCCGCTGCAGACCCAATGTGATTGGCCGGGACTGCTCCATGTGCGCCACGGGCTACTGGGGATTCCCCAACTGCAGACGTGAGTTTTACTTTTCAGACATGAAGGAAAATATCCAGAAAACAGGGTCCGGACATTTTCTGGAGTTCATCACGCAGCAGAGACTCACTCTGACGTTTGACCAGGGGGCTGACAGGAAGTCACCGACTCGGACATTTGTGTTGCCCCTTGGAAAGTTTCTGGAAAATGGCCGAACTTCAGCGTTTGTCTGAAAGCAGCTTTAATTCCTTAGAAAAGTGGAACTTTTATTCTATGATTCTATGATTATTATGTGATTTTATCATCAGTGGCAGTTTTCTAATATAAAACTCGTAACTTAACAGATATTCAGTTTTATCCTTTCTGTCCTTTTTGCTCTTGAACTGAATTTACTGAGATGAATCAAATTAAAAACGTGGTGAAAGAAATAAAACGATGTCAAACTGATATTAATAATTTACAGAGTTGAAGAAAATGTTGTGATGGTTTAAGTTAAAATCAAAGAAATGTCTTTTTTCTGAAGAGTAAGAAACAATCAGAGACTTAGTTCTGATGGATTTCCTCTCGTCTCTGCTGCAGCTTGTAACTGTGGCAGCAGGTTGTGTGAACCTGTGACCGGCGACTGCATCTGTCCTCCGAGGACGCTGCGGCCCGAGTGCACCCAGTGTGAGCCCCAGACGTTTGGCTGCCACCCGCTGGTGGGATGTGAGGTCTGCAACTGCTCCCGGCCCGGCATCGACTCCCCTGACGTCAGCTGTGACACTCTGAGTGGACAGTGCAGGTAAAGACTCAGAGTCAAGCATCACCTCACGTTCCCTCTGCTCAGATGGGATTCAGCTCCATCTCACATGTCGGGCGTCTCTCTGGTGCCTGTCTCTTTAGTTCCTGTCTCTTTGGAACCTGTCTCTTTAGTTCCTGTCTCTTTAGTTCCTGTCTCTT